CCGTTTATGGATGCAAGTAAAAAAATTAAGAAACTGTTTCAGTAAAAGTTTGTAAAAATAAGAGAATTTGAGTAATAAATAGACCAGGTAAAATTATATTATTAGTTCTAATTCATTGAAGTTTGTAACTACTTCCACGTTAAAGTTCGTCTACTAAACGTATACTTTGTGAAGAACAAATAATAATTTATTCTTGATCAGTAGGCACACTCTTTTTTCTCATTTTTCCATCATGATATATCTCATGTAAAGATACTGTAAAATAAATGTGAAAGAAAAGTTGTAAATAATTTCTTGAACTATGGAATTATTGTGCTCATGGCCAAAACTGAGAATTAGTTATGTACCATATATTTTATTATTAGTTAGAATTATGCGAGATACAAATTTAATATCAAACGTATTTGCAATACGTCTAATAGTCTAATAGAGTACCTATATATATATATATATATATATATATATATATATTCATAATATAGTTGGCATACAAATCTTTGGCGCCTAAAAGTCGGTTGTGATATATACGACACATGCCGAGAAATCGTTTAACATTTTCCATGGTGGGATAATGCCAAATGACTAATGTGACTTCAGGATAATAGCAGTTATATTAGATTTATATATATATATATATATATATATATATATATGATATTCAGTTTTCAGGGCAATACATCAATTAAAAAATTTTGTATGACTTTAAAACATTTTTATTTTTTCCATACGTTTCGACACATAGTTTTGTGTCATCTTCAGTGGACTCTATTTATTTCAAAATAGAGTCCACTGAAGATGACACAAAACTATGTGTCGAAACGTATGGAAAAAATAAAAATGTTTTAAAGTCATACAAAATTTTTTAATTGATGTATTGCCCTGAAAACTGAATATCACATATTTCAACATCAAAATTATATAAAAAAATTTATATATATATATATATATATACAATAGGTGAAAATTCATAAGAAAATTGTAGAAGGCATTATCAAGGGTAGTTGTAATGTAGTATATACACAGCGTTTATAAATCCAAAATCTTTTATGTATTTTAGATCTATCACCTGTAACTAATCCTGAAATATTTTACTTGATCCACTATTTTATCCAAGCTGATTTTTTAATTTCTTTCATTAACAACGATCAGAACATTAGTTACTATGAGTTAGTTTGATTGTCATTAATTAATTATATTAAAAGATAGTTAAAATAACCTAGGGGGTATTTACTATTAGATGATATTTTACTGGATCTTGTTAATTGGGCATCTTTATAATCTTTTTACTTCAGGTGTATGGAGCTGTAGAGCAATGAGTGACTTACAGTGATTTTTTAATTTGTGATTCTGATTAGTGGATGTTGTTTTTACAAAGTCTTTAATATATTGCACCTTCAGATCTTATGCAGAGTGTTATTGCTCTCGTACCAGGATGCACCTGTGCATCATACTTAGTAGTTTCGACCAATTTAAGCCAATTTTCTTGAATAATTCAAGTATGTCAAATCTGGTCATTTTTAGCCTAGAATATGAACAAACTAATTACTAACTCAGACACTAATCATGCAAGTTTTTTATCTCTTCTATTTACAACTGTCCAGTTAAGGACACTTAATAAATTTGAGGAATTTACAATAATCGGCGGTAAAGGGTCATTGTATACTAAAGGGACATGTTGGAAAAACAACTCCGTAGTCATTTTCCCATTCGATATAATATTAACAATATTTTATTGATAATTATATAATTTTAACTATTTACTTATAAAATATTTTCTTATAGATATTGACTAAGTTATTTCCATTTTTTATCAGGGGAGTTGATGACTTAAATACAGTAGCGCTTTTCTTTCCAATCTTCTTGGATAGTTCTCTGTTATCAAGGAGTTTGCTAATGAATGCAATAAATATTGAAAAAAAAAATGATGGATATCAATAGTAATAATATCAATATACTATCGCCTTCATTATCTTAAAATTATTCATAATACCAATGCAAGTAATTAACGCATTTAGGTGATTGTTTCTAAAACACGTGTCTGCTAATCTTCATAAAAAATTATTATTAATTATAAATGACAATTTTTACCAATATTATTTGCGAATATAATTATTTCCCCAGTTAGCAATAATTAAAATTATAGCTATTCAAATAACAAATATACGGTAACTGAATCTGGCACTCGTAGTACCGTTTACATTGAGTCTGTTAATATAAACCCTACTTAATTCACAATGGTCGTCTTCTTAAGCACAAATTTCTCGTATAGATTCATTTTTACCATACGAAAGCCTATTTAAGTCTACAAATATCCAGAAGTCAAAGCATTTGCCAAGTAATCCATTATGTCAGGGCCATATCCTTTGCCAGGAATCCCTTGAAATCCGTGATCTGGCAACATCAATGCGACGCGATCAATTAATTGGTACTGTTTGCGTGCCCCTTTGATAAGGCATGCAGGCTGAATAATTCAGCAGTTAGGATCTTTTACTGTTACAATTAAATGAACTGTATGGTGAAGTGCTTTTATTCTGGAAGCACGTTTCATAGATTTTGTGTGTGAATTTAATACTACATCAGCGACGAATTAGGTTTTATATTTTATCAAAAATAAAAATAAAAGTTATTGAAGGTTTTATAATTTATTAAAAATGAAAAATATTTCAAAGTGAATTGTAATAATTAATCACATAAACACTATGCTCACTTTATAAAAGTTTAATTAGACTGTACTTTTATAATTGTTTAATTAGATTATCATACTATTATATTATACTATACTATTATATATCATAGATAATTTCACTATTATCTATTATACCGTGAGATACCTATACCATCAATTTCTCTATCCATACAAATAATCTATTACAGCTAGATTATTATTTGCTAACTAACTTATTATATATATATACATATATATATATATATATATATATATATATATAAATATATATATGTGTGTGTTTATATATATGTATATACATATCAGACACCCTACATACTTATTTAATATCAATGTGTTATATTTCTACCTTACGCCCTATGTATTATCTCTACCTATCTATTGCCTATACCGGGGATTGAACCCGGTTCCTCTGCGTGACAGTCACGCATCTTAACCACTACTCTATCGGGTGACCCCACTGAAAATATATTATGGAACACACTGTTGTTTCTTTGGTTCATTTTCTAATTAATTGAGTAACTAATACTAAGGTGACGCGACAACACACAAAAAAAGACGGTTGATTGTAGCGTTATGGTGGTCGAGTGGTTAAGGTCGTAGCCTGTCACGCGGCGGACCGGGGTTCGATTCCCGGTAAGGGTGAAAATAGTATGTAAACGAAATTGTAGGCGTAATATAAAAAATATTAGGTGGTTTAGATATAAGTGTAAGGATTGAGCGTATACGGTGGGGTGGTTTAAGGAACATACGATATAGTAGTTATAAGGCGTATAACCACGTAAAATGCAATGGTTTAGGTATAATTTAGGTATGGTTTAGGTGATACACATACGCGAAAAGAAATTTATGATATTAGAGGTTATCGTATAAGAATTGCGAATATTATAGAAATTTAATTTATAAATATTCTTTTTCGATACAAATATTTAGTTTGCTGGTTAGTTTTTTGACAAAGGCAGGGCAAAAGTGCAAGAAATGTCGATTTAGTTTTTGAGTCAACGGAGCATCTGGTTTAAATGATTCAAAAAACATTTTACATTTATTTACTGAAGGAAGAAGTGATTAAATTTTTGGGCAGGTCCAATAAAAAAAGTAAATTATTCTCAGTTCAAAATATTAAATATCGGTACAAAAAGTTCTAGCAATTTGCTTTAAAGCACGCCATGCACCTCTAGTTTAGTCTTATATTATAAGAACAAAAAGTTCAAAACCATAGGAATCGGAAGGTAAAAGTTTTTTAGATAAATTTGATTATCAATCAACTTTATTTATACTAAAATAAATATTAACTAGTGGGGTGGGTGGCATCGTGCCTTAAGGCAAATTGCTGGAATTTCCCGTACCGTAACGAAATGTTCGAGGAATACTGAATGTTTTCAAATAGATTATTATAAATATTGTAACATTGTCTAATATTTATAAGAATTATATAAACTGAATTGCAAAGTTAAAATTATTTGTAAAGTATATTAGAACTATAGTCAGAATTAAAATTAAATCTGAATTATTTTCGATATACAAAAAATTAAAAAAAAAAAAAAGTTGAAACAAAATTTTTTTCCAAAATCAATTATTTTGTTAAGACAAGCAGAAAGTTCTTTGAATCAACTTTCCGATTGAATTTGTTTGCATCAAAAAATCCAAATTGCTAATTTTGTTTTCTCGACGTTTCAAGCCATTCTGAATCGATTGAAACAAATTTGGAAAAAGTATGTGTGTAAACAGATTTTTCACCATAAATCGACATTTTCTCAAAAACGGCTGGATCGATTCCAAAAATTTAAAAGTCGTTCGATATATCTCGATGAGGACTACCGTTTGTGCAACGATCTGCCGAGCCGTTTCTTTGTAATCTGAAAAAAAGTAATAAACTTTTCGTCCACATTTAAGCTGATACTTCCAAATCGATTTAAAAAATCAAAAACTGTTCGAAAGATATTAGTTGGGAATGATACTGATTAGTTTCAGGTGAAAATCTACCGAGCCGTTTTCTTATAATTGTTGAAAAAAAAATTAAGCCGATTTTTATGAAAGTTTTTTTGGCGAAATATATCATTTTCAATTATGTGTAATAAATCCATTTGGAATACTTTTAATCTTTCATTAATTAATTTATTTTTCATTGATTAAGTCGATTACTTAAACATATCGAAATTTCATGTATTTTACCTCAAGTCAAAATACCAATACCCACTAGTTTATTTTAATTTTAACGAATAATAATTTTATCAAAAGCAGAATGAACATTTATTGAATTTATCTATACCTACATTTTTCAGTTAACAAAATATTGTTACAAAATTTACTGTTACTAATTATCATTTTGTGATAATTCCCCTGAATCTTCACAAAATACTGCTCCAAAGCATACAACACCTTTATATGGTTGTGGCATTGACTCAAAAAACATTGGAGGCGTTATTATAGGTCGATCACACTTTCCAATACGTTTATTTTTTTTAGCATCTGCGATGGCTTTCAAATTCAATATATCTTCTGCTTCGAATATACTCATGAAATTTTCTGTTTCCTCAGGATCTTGCTAAAAATAATTATAATAGAGAATGTAGTAAAATATATTTGCGAAGCATGTTAATATTATATGTTATGTTAAATGTTTTCGTTAATAGTACAATTGGTTAAAATTATTTCACTATAGAACAAAATGTTTATTCCAAATTGTGAAGTCTAATAACACGAATTATTTTGAGTATGTGCAGAAACTTTTAGTAGGGAGGCTGGGTACGGTTGTGCCAGGGTACGGTAGTGACAGTCTCCACGACTGCTAAACTATAATACTTTGACATAGGAACCAAAAGGAGAAAGATGTAGTATGTTTGGAACATGTTTCCATTATAGCATTTAGTCTGCACCCTACATTAACATGATTAGTGTACTGAATTGCTTTTAGAGAGTCAAAAAATGTTTCTTTGTTCGATTAACTGCTGCGTGTATCCAGATAGATCATTTTGTTTATTTTTCAGTAATTTGAACATTGGTAGTTAATTACTGGCAGATGATTTGGCTTAATCATAACTATGATTTTAAATATGAGTACGGTTGTGCAAATTTTGTAGGTACGGTTGTGACATGAATTTTTCCCCCTCTTTGGGTGAAGAATAATTAGATAAAAAAGTTACATCACTAAGACAAAATACGAGAGTGAAAAGAAAACAAATATTCAACATGAAAAAAATAATTTCACAAAGAGTTCGTGTTTACTTCGTTTGAAAAAATGTTGATTTGTTGTAGATTATATTACTACGTAGACTAATGTTTCATATACCATTTAATTAATTTTCTCCCAGCCAACTGGTAAATTACCAAAATTATGGCTGATCAAAAAAAAGTGGCGCATAGTCTCCACTATGATCGGTTGCACTAGTTTTACATATTTTATATTGTTGAAATTTTCTACAATTCTTTGGCCAATATTAAAAATTCTGAGCGGTTTAAATTGTCAATTCAAAACTCATAAAAACATTGGCTCTAAGCGTCGTAACACTAGAACATAGAGTTTAATGAAATATCATATATATGCAAAGAATTTGAAATCTATTCGGGATTTTTTTTCAGGTTCTTTGAAGTTTATTCAAATCAGTTTTTTTAAATCTATTCAGGATTATGAGTTAAAACGTGGATGAAAAGTTTAATAATTTTATGCCAATTACAAAGAAAGGGCTCGGCCGATCGTCGCACAAAACCGAGAAACAATAATCCTCATCGAGATACATCCAATGGCATTTGAATTTTTGAAATCGGCATTTTATAACTTTTAAGAAAACGTCGTTTTACGGCAAAAAATCTGTTCACTTACCCACACACACATACGAGACTGTTTCCAAATTCTCATTCGATTCAGAATCGCTTAAAACGTCGAGAAAACATAAACTTAGCGAATCGGATTTGATTTGATAAAACATAAACTTCTCCTTTGGGGAGTTTATGAAAAAAATAAATTATTGCAATGACCTCAAATTCTTACCACATAGCTAGATATTGGTATCAAACGATCAGTTGGCGGTTCTGCGCTAAATGGTGCCACAACTTTTTTTCCCTTCTCCATAATCAACAACATAATCGACAAATAAACATGGTGTATTTTTAATTCTACAATATCTATTGGATCGCTAAGTGAGCTAAGTTTGCATATCCATTGTTGCATTGCAAGATTATCTGAAAGAAAAAAATATTTTCAATACCAAAGTGTTATTCAAGTATCAATTTATTACAATTCTGAATAAATTTTAATAAACATGTTAGATTTATTCGCTGATAAAATTTGACTCAAAGTAAAATATCTGTGTTGTTAAATATTATATTAAAAAAATTATTTTGATGCAAATATCGCTTTTGAAACTTATTTCCTTACCTTCTAGTGGCATCAATGGCGCCAATGATTTTGCGATTTCAAGATCAAACCTAAATTTTTCATATAATTTTCTTACTGAACGTCCCATTTTTAAATTTTTAATTTTTATATTTGCTTTATTTTTTTATTTTATAATATGGATTGAAAATGTCATTTTTTTTGTTTTCAAATTTTGTTTATGTCATTGTTACTATTTCGATTTCAACAGTTCAAAAACTTGGAATTAATGTTTATATATTTTTATTATATAAATACGTTGATAATTTGTAATTTTGATCATTATATAAAAATAATTAACAAGCATTAATGTACACTTAAATTACAATTAAAATAACTTAGTATTCATATTAAAAATAGATTTTATATTAACTATATTTATAACAAGAACCAGTTAAAACACATAAAAAAACAAAAATTCAATTATATTTTATCTAAAATGTTGAAAATGTATTGTATTATAACTAATGATTGAGAGTTCCTCTTCTGAATTCTAAACTTCCAATAAAATGCCTATAGTTTTCATACATTTGCTTCCTATGTTCGGAATGTTTATCCATTGGTAACATAAAAGTTTTACTAAACGGAGAGCATAATTTTACAATTGGTGGAGGATTCATGGCATGGATTTCCTCCCAAGTTGCAGGTATTTTTTCTATAACTTTTCTTGAAACAATTGTGCCTTTCATGTGTATATTTTCAGGGTAATCCGCATTTTTAATAAGTACTGAAAATGCAACATTATATCCATGAAATTCTCTTTGTACCGTGATCATCAAAAAATCACCATCAGGTTTTTCTACAAATATACCATTAGACAAATCTTCTGATTGATCTTCATCAAAAAGAACCATGGAATCATTATGTTGGGAAATAGTTTCTTCTTTTTTACCAAATATAATAGATTCAACCAAAGTTACATCTTGACAATTATATCCTGTCATAACATTTTTTGCAAATTCGGTTGCATCCTTGAGCATGGACTTTGCTATGTCCGAAGCCAGAGGATCGCTCTGTAATTCATCATCTTTAATCAAACTATTAGTCAGTATTAAAACTTTTCCTAATATTAGTCCGTGTTCCATACCGAGTTCGTAAAGTTTGTCATAAATGGCCCTCAAACCAAAAATCTTTAAGTGCTTATTAGGTGCAGCTAGAGTTTTATCAAATGCTGGTATATAATTATCTTCAGTCACATTATGGAATATTATATAATACATTGCTTGATCAGCCAAATAATTATCAACTCTGTATAGTGCTGCAAGACATTTAAAACAATCGTGAAAATTCCGTTGAACCATTTCTTTCATATTGTGCTTTGCAAATAATATATCTTCTGCAGACGCCGTTGCATTATTATCAACAATTTGTTTTTCCATAAGAGAAATGATTTTTTCGCTATCCTGGATATTCGAATCATTTATTGCATAAATAAAAGCATCGTTAATTAAGTTAATAGCGTTCATATCATCCATTATTTTGAGCATTTCCAATATTTTATCAAAGTTATCGTGATCGTTCACGTATTTTTGTACTAAATAATGCATTATAAAAATGCATTTAATACTCTGAGTCATTTCTTTAGCTGCTTCATATTTCTCATCATCAATCAGCTTTATAACATCATGCACTAATTTTATATCATTTTGCAACTTTACAAGCTTTTCTATAACTTTTGTTTTTTCTTCTCCACAATAATTTTTAACGTCTTCAATGTGGTTGGGGATACTATTCAAAACATCCGTGATATCTTTCATTATGAGTTTAGGATTTGCATTTGGTGTTTGAAATTTAGCAATCAGCTCAAAAAATTCTTCCTTTGGTTTTCTCATTTCCAAGTCTTTGCAAGGTGAACTGAACTGCATTCCGTATATGCAGTTCAGAACATTTATTGTAAAAAATAGACTACAATTAGTAAAAATTTATTTTGCATTGCTTCCATTCTGAAATGAAATAATTATTTTAAGTAAATAAATGAATATTTGCTGGTTTCATATAACATGAATATTTAATATAATTCATATTAAAACTAGTAGATATTTTATATAAAAATATATGAATTTTATGTTGTTTAAATTTTGAGTGGATCTTATTCTTTTTATTTCGTTTATATTTTATATTTATTTATTTGAATTTACCTTCATTTGCAGTTTAATAAATAAATATTTTCATAAACTTCATCAGTATTTTCTCACATTTTAATCTACATATATTTTTCCGAATACAATAATAATGTCATTTTCTATTTTATAGACTTAAAAGTATTACTAGATACATTTAAGTAACGTTTAGTATTAAAAACAAACATTAAGTACACATGGATATTGTTAAGAGGCACAAAAATAGTAAATATATATGTATTCATATATATATATATATATATATATATATAATATTATATGTAATATTACAATACAACAAATTAATTTAACCATTTACAAAAATGCATATAATCTACTTACTTTGTGCGCTTTAAACTCCACCTTATCGGTAATACTGATAAATGTGTTCATCTTGAATTTATATTTCAAATTTTAAAATGTTTATATATAATAATTGCAATAACAAATTATATCACTATATTTTGTTACTCTGATCTTTCGACATTTATTAGATAACCAATATTACCAAGAATTAACAAAGCAAATTCTACAAGCGATGCAATCTTATCGAAAGTTGTCGTGGAACTGCAGTTGTGCACTGTTTTCTTGTAAACAACTTTTTTATAATTATATGTGTAGAATTGTAGAATGCATTTGCATAAATGCAATTTGCATTCAAAGTAGTATGATAAAACAAGAACTAGTACATTATTTTTTTATTGATTGTTTGCACTACAAATTTTGCATATACAAACTTCAACTTGACATTATAGGTTATTTTGCTGTTCGCATAATTTTTATCAGAGGAATTATCTGAACTTTTTATATACAAACAATACAAACAAACGAATTTAAATAAGTTGGCTGAATATAACGTTTATTTTCTTACAAACAGTTTTATCACAATTATTTATAATATTTCTACCTTCATTCATTACATGTGTTTTTTACACGATATACGAAATTCTCATACAGTTCTCTGCTTGCCTGTGTGTGATTTTCTCTAGTCAGAGTATTTTCTAATTTTGTACAATATTGGACAAATGGCTCAGGATTCAGTACGCAGAGTTCTTTCCATGTTGCTGATTCTTTTGCAAATACTTTTTTAGATATAATTTTTCCAGACATGTAAATATTTTCTGGATATGCACCATTCTCCATCACTATCGAATATTTTACGGATTCTGGTCCATAGCTTTGTTCGAGAGTTATCATTAACAATTCACCATCATGCTGTTCTTTGAATTTTCCTTTAAAGATCTCAGGTGTTTCTGGATTGTAGAAAACTGTGTACTCATTATGTTCTGAGTGTTGCACTTTTTCGCTTATGACGATAGAGTTAATTTGTTCAAAATTTTGACATACGTAGCTTTCAGAAACTTTTTTTGCAAATTCGGAAGCATTATCTAATATATTCTCTAAAATTGTTTTGGCTTTAGAATCTTCTTCTAAACCAGGTTTGATTGAAGCCAATTTAGCATATTTCAACACTTTTCCCATGTAAATAGAATTTTGCATTTCCAAAACTACAAGTTTATCATAAAATGCTTCCAAACCAATAACATAAAAATGGGTGTTTGGTGCTAAGTCCAGTTTTTTTAAATTTACATATGTTTCTGTAACATTTTGGAATACAACTTCATAAAATGCTTGGTCTGCCATCTCTGGATCAATTTTATTCAATGCTTTGAAACCTTTGTTACAATCAGCTGATGTAATCTTGACCATCTCTTTCATATTTAATTTTGCTGTCAATAATAAATCAGCAGGTATTTTACTCTTGTTGTCAAGAATTTGTTTCTTCATTATTGGAATAATTTTGCTACTTGCACCAATATTTGTGTCATCTATGAGATAAATCAGTGCTGCATTTACCATGTTAATGGTTTTCATATTTTCTAAAACTTTTAATAATTCTATAACTTTATGCAAAGTTTTATGGCTCATATAGCTCATTCGAACAGTGAATTGAACCAAATGTGGGCAATGGAAAGATTCGATTAAAGTTTTTGCATCTTCGTAATTATCATTACCTAAAGCTTCCACAATATTTTTTACTGTTTGTATGTTTTCAATTAATTCAACAAGTTTATTAATACTTTCTGTTTTCTCATCTCCGCAAGTAATATTTATTACCTCTAAGTGATCTGGTATTTCATACAAGTCTCCTGAGAATTGTGCCATCAATATTTTTGCTTCTTTAACTTTTTTGGATTGAAGAGATTCAATAAAATTGTAGAAAATGTGGATGGGTTCTTCCATCATTTCTTTGGTACATGGTGTACTTGATCGCGTTAACCAGGCATCAGCATAAATTATGTTCGAAAGCACCAAGATTAAAAAACATTGCGATAGTTTATTCATATTGATATACCTAGAATAATATTTCAGAGTTATTTCAAGAATATCACTTGAATACTACGTTAATTATTTATTCATAAATTATTAGAAAGGCACTTCATGTTATTTGGAAAAATTCAATTCCTATAGTCCGGCATCATCATTAAAAAATTCGAAAACTTGAAACAAAATCTTTAAATAAATCTTAAACTTTCTCCTTAAAAAAATTCAAACTTAATCTAATTTGAACAAAATTGATTTTGTAGTATGTGTATAATCCAGTGTAGGCACATTATATATCAAATTAGATAATTATGCATTAAACATAAAGTAATCTCAGGTCTTAATACTGTAGATACATATAAATTAAAAGTTATAAATATTAATATATTATTATTTATAACTTTTAATTTATTTAGCGTGCATGTGCATGATTACAAATAGGATCATTTTAAACCAAATCGATACTTTGCTACTTGATATTAATACTAACTTAATATTAACACTATTATTTGACACTAAATATTAATATATATATATATATATATATATATATATATATATATATATATATATATATATATATATATATATATATATATATATATATATATATATATATATATATATATATATATATATAAAGTGTCAATGATAGTCTTGAATACAATTGATTTTATGTGATATATGTTTTGATTGATTTTTTTAATCATCAATACAAAATGCAATCACCAGATAATAGATTATTTTGTTCAAAAAAATATTAACAAATGCAATAATTTTATAATTAAAAATTTTTAATCATCATAAAATTTACTTACAATTTATATACACCTTCTAAAATACACAACAATTTATTAAACTTTTTGTAACCGTTTATATACAATCGTCATTAGGAGACACTGAAAACATCGTAATTCTTTTAACAGTCAGTACATTTTTACCCTATTGACCTTTTAGATTAAATAATACTGATGGAAATATGGTATGTCAAAATCAATTGGTACAGATACGTATCATTTATAAAAATATTTTAAAACTGCAAATTCTTTGATTTATATATTTTGTTTAATTTCTGAAATAGTATAGATGTTGGCAAAAATTCAAAGCGACAAAAATTCTAATTTTACAATAGGAAAAACTATTAAATAGGAATAGGTTCATAGCCATCACAGAAGTAGAATTTTTACTAAATAATTCCTAAGTATCCAGCATCAGATTTTACTATGATAGTATTTATTAAATTTAATTAATTTATTCAATATACCAATTCTAATATATTTTTCATCTTACACATATTGTTAAATAAAGCCTAATATTTGAAATTGACACAATAATATTTAAATTTCCTTTATATTTATTGATCGAAAAAGTACTATTTATTGGTACTAGAATATTCAAACTTTTTTTCATTTTCACTTATATATTCCTGATGACTTAATTTTATTAATTAATAAATATAATTTAAATTTATTTGATAGCTTCATAAAAATAAATTTAAAACCAATAAATGGAGGGCTAAATAGATTTGTAATCCAATTTATTATTATAATTATTGAAAAAAGCGACAAAATATATATATTATCCCCTACCAGACGATATATCTTTATTTATTGGTGAAATATAAGCATACGAGTTTAAGTTGCCTGGTTCTAAAATTTATTTTCTTACAAGTAGTTTTATCACAATTATTAACAATTATTTTTATTCTCTGCATTTTTTAACGTAATCTAAAAAATTGTTATATAGTTCTCTTCTGGCCTGTGTGTGATCTTCCCGAGTCATCGTATTTTCCAATTTTGCACAAATTTGGGCAATTGGTTCAGGTTCCATTACGCAAAGTTCTTTAAATGTTGCCGATTTTTTTGCATAAACCTTTTTAGATAAAATTTTTCCTGACATGTAAATATTCTCTGGGTAAACACCATTTTCCATCACTATTGAGTATTTGACCGTTTTTGGTCCGTAGCTTCGTTCAAGATTTATCATTAACAATTCACCTTCTTGTTGTTCAATGAATTTTCCTTTGAAGAGTTCAGGTGTCTCTGGATTGTAGAAAACTGTGTACTCATTATGTTCTGAGTGTTGCACTTCTTGACCTATGACAATAGACTTGATTTGTTCAAAATTTTGACATACGTAGCTTTCCGAAACTTTTTTGGCGAATTCGGGAGCATTATCCAAAATATTTTCTAAAATTTTTTTGGCCTTAGAATCTTCTTCAAGATCGGGTTTGATTGGAGCCAATTTAGCATATTTCACCACCTTACCCATGGAAATGGAATTTTGCATTTCCAAAACTACGAGTTTATCGTAAAATGCTTCCAAACCGATAACATAAAAGTGGGTGTTTGGTGCCAAGTCCAACTTTTTGAAATTCACATATGTTTCTGTAACATTTTGAAATACAACTTCATAAAATGCTTGGTCTGCCATCTCTGGATCAATTTTATTCAATGCTATAAAACCTTTGTTACAATCAGCAGATGTAATCTTGACCATCTCTTTCATATTTAATTTTGCTGCCAACAATACATCAGCAGGTATTTTTTCCTTGTTGTCCAGAATTTGTTTTTTCATTAAAGGTATAATTGTGCTACTTGCTCCAATATTTGTATCATCTATGACATAGATCAGTGCTTCGTTTACCATGTTAATGGTTTTCATATTCTCTAAAACTTTCAGTAATTCTACAACTTTGTCCAAAGTTTTATAGCTCATATAGCTCAATCGAACTGTGAATTGGACCAAATGTGGGCAATGGAAAGCTTCAATTAAAGTTTTTGCTTCTTCGTAATTATTATTACCTAACGCTTGCACGATATTTTGTACAGTTCGTATGTTTTCAATCAATTCAACAAGTTTATTAATACTTTCTGTTTTCTCATCTCCGCAAGTAATATTTATCTTCTCTAAGTGATCTGGTATTTCATGCAAGTCTTCTAAGAGTTGTGCCACCAATGTTTGTGCATTTTTAAGTTCTTTGGATTGGAGAGATTCAATAAATTTGTAGAAAATTTGGATTGGTTCTTCCATCTCTTCTTTGGAACATGGTGTACTTGATCGTGTTAACCAAGCATCAGCATAAATTATGTTCGAAACCACCAAGATTAAAACACATTGCGATAGCCTATTCATCTTGATATACCTAGAATAATATTATAGATCTGCTTATTGTAATATGATTTATCTTTAAACATATATAGCTACATAATTTAAAGAATAGTAATGGGTAGTATTGCACTAAGGCAGATCTGTGAGCGGAGTTGAACTCCAACTCGATTCAAGAAAGAAGTGGTGTTAGTTTTTACCATTTAAGTTGAATATAAAGGATATGTAACTGCATAAATAATTACAACCTTTGTATGTGGTAGATATCATTTGATAGGGGACATGTTTTATGAAGAAGTATTAGTTTTTAAATTTATCTATAAATCAATAACAATTATATAATCGTCATATAAATTTTTATATAAATCAAATCGATTATTTTATTTATTAAGTAAATGTTTATATCTTGATATTCACGTATACTGGGCACAAATATAATACTAACAATATAAGCTATATATTCAATTAATTTTGTGTGATAACTGTTATGACCGAAACTTCTAAAGTGTGAAAATGCTTATTACAAAATGCAATCACTGGATTGTAGTTAATTATTTTTATTATAAAGACACTAATAGTTAAATTTAAATACCAAAGAGTAATTTTAATTTATCATAATATTTACTTACATATTTTTTCCAAAGTGTATGCACCATCAAAAGTCACAACTAATTTGTTTAATTTTTTGTGACCGTTTATATAGTATTATCATTGGAAGACACTGAGAACATCGTTAATTCTTTTGACAATCTGTGAATTTTTACTCTATTGACCTTTCTAGATTAAATAATACTGATGAGAATATGGTGCGTTGGAATTAATTGGTATAGATAAATATTATCTATGAAAATATTTTGAAATTGCAAATTACTGGAATAGTATTGATGTCGGCATAAATTCAAGGCGACAAAAATTCTAGTTTTGGATGTATTTATATGTATTTAGTCAATAATACTGCAAATACTCAGGTGACTTTGCAATATATTTAATTATTTTATAATCGGTTAATTATAATAATACTTGTTACGGTAACTTATAATCTTCAAAACCAGCAACATTATTCCCTAAGCCGTTTTTGAAAATTCCAATAAAGATGAATTTTTATCTTAAATGTACATTTGATTCTGAACATATTATTAAAATATATAAGGTACATTATAAATGATAATAATGATATCATGTTGGGTGATATCAACAAAAATATTATGTTGGGTGAAATAATGTTAGCTGTATCTAAAATAAATGCAAATTAGATATATTTTTCCGAACATTTGAAATTACTATTTTAAAATATTAAAACATTTTTCTAGAGTATTTGGCGCCATTTATAATTGTATTCAGTGTAAAGTTTGCCATAAATAAGCCAGTTTCTGTAAATACTATGCCTGTTAAATATTTAAATTTTAGTACATTCACATGAATATTTTTTTTACTTACAAATACTTGAATATTGAAAATTATTAATAGTTAATGCCGCAAATATGTCAATGAAAATTACGTGCATTGAATTACTGCCTTTTTACGAGCTCTATAAAAGGATGATTATATTTTATTTCAATATACTTCAATAAAACTAAGTATACAAATAAGCTATATATTTATTGATATTATGATGTAAAGGTTTTGATAAACTGTTAAATTCAAAGAAAAAATTATAAATTTCAATTAATCATTCTGTTGTACAAGGGCTCTTGAAATTTTTCAAAATTTCAATAGATTGCTTTCTCACAGAATCTGCTTCTTCATATGTGTAATACAGAAATTTCAGCGTTGGTATACAAATATTGTACTCAGGATGAGGATTTAATTCACAAATTTTTTCACTTATCAGGGATTCAAAGCTGTATCGTTGCTTAGAAATAACAGGCAGATTAATGTTATCAGAATAATCATCAGCTTCTAACAACAATGAATATTTCATATCATCTGCGTAATTCTTTCCTTCGAAATTAATTTTTAACAAAGTTCCATCTTCTTCGGCTTTGAGCACAGAGCCAATTTCATTTGGGTGTTCTATGAATATATTTATTATATATTCATTATGATGTACTGTGTCCTCATGCTTAATGGAGCCACAAGAATGACCATATACCAAACTTTTGGAAAACTTCGTTGCGTTTTCTACGATATTATTCAGAATTTCAATATCTTCTGTATCATTAATATTTTCTTCTCGAATCATGTCCTTACTTAATACATAAACCTTTGTGGAAACAAGACTACTCTGCAAATTCATTGAAACAATTTTATCATAAAGTGAGTTTAAAGCCAGAGCTTTCAAATGAACTGTCGGTAAATTATTTACAATTCTAAAAACTTTGCTGAAAATTGAGTTTGTAAATGAGTTTTGAATAACATCTCTGACGGTTTGATCTGCTAATTCACTATCAACTTCATTAAGAAGTACAAGAGCGTCTGAATAATTATGTATTGATCTTTCCACAAATATTTTTAAGTTATTTTTGGCATATGCTAATGTTTCTTCTTCATTATGCAGAGTAATAAACTCTCTCATCAAGGGAACAAGGTCTTTAGCAAGATGTGCATTTGTATCATTTAAGGTGTAAATCAGTCCTTCGTGCATTTCATTAATTATGTTTGTATCATTTTTCATGAATTCTATTGCTCTAAGAATTAAAGTATAACATTCTGACATAGTGTAAAATTGGGCAATAATATAATGTCTTATTTGTTTATTGCCGAAATTTTCAAATCTTTCTACTATGGTGTCCATATCGTCAGCTAATGCTAAGAATGACATCTCGAGCATTCTTATTACATGAATGTCCATTAGGAATGATTCAAGTTTATTTAAACCGCCAATTTTCTCGTCTCCACAGGTTTCATTGACTCTGTCATAATAGTCTTCAGTGTCAACTACTAAAGCCAATATTTGTTCAAGTATCTTTTCTGTACTCACAAGTGGTGACTGCATTTCATCTACCAATTTATTGAATTCTCTTATGGGTTTAACTATTTCATCTTCAGAACAGATTGTGGTCACAGGTGTGGCGCAGCATGCCCCGAGCAAAGCAAATAATAATAATAACAGCATTTTTTATCCTGGAAATTATTATGAAATTAGTTGACATTTTGAGATAAAAATCGTATTTATAAATAATAGAAGGTTTACTCAAAGAGGCAAAGAAACTAGTTCTTACTTCCCTGAAAAATAGTGAAAAATACTTGTTACAAGATACAATAAAGTCTTTTAGAAGGCCAATAAATGAAATTAATCATTTGATTAACTAAGTAAACCCCTCTTTGACAATATAATTAACAATTTTTATTACCACCTTTATCAAACCACTATTTGTTATTCCAAATTTCAATCAATTAATGACCTTCTAATTTGTAATTATCTATTATGTTAATAAAATGATTTTTTGCTGTTTTAACTTTTTATCACAATTTAAATTTAAATCGATCATTGTTCCGTATATGAAAATTATAAATTTTATTTAATATTTAAAGTTTTGTACCTTTTGTTCACAGAAGAGCTATCATTAGCTTCGAAACATTCCAACTAATATTTTTTCACTGATTTTTCGACTATTTATATACAATGTCATGTTAAGTTCAAAAGTGTATCATAATCACATTACATGAGAAAAAATTAAAATATACTTGAATTTTATAACATTGAAAATACTAAATAAAATACTAGAAAATGATAACAATACTTATTTTCAATAATAAATTATGTCAAATTCAATAAAACTAGTGATATAAGTAATAGTGATAGTGATAAAAGTTTTAAAAATTTATGTTCTAAATAACTTATCAAATATATCAACTTTATTCAACAGAAGTAAAAAATATTGTATTTAATTTAATTTCGAAGGATTAAAAATTTATTAAGCTCCATTAAAAACCCTATTAACCTGGTCTATAATATTCGAGTTATAATAGAAAAATTGTAGTAAATTATTCTTTCACATATATTATTTCCAAGAAAAATATTTCTCAAAATACACTGAATTTGGTGCTTTATATATTAATGATCAGATCCAATACAAACAATTATATTATTTAGTTATTACAATATTATATTATATTATACAGCTATAATAATATTGTTACATTACTGTTCTACAGTGATTATATTAATTACTTAAAATAATTCTGTGGATAGGTTTACTATCTAATTAGTGTTTTTTTAGAAAAACTTTTTTATCCTGGTTATGAATCCACCCTTAGTATATCTTCCGAATGAGGGATTTTTTTAACAAAATTAATCAAATATTAATTTGATAATTGTCACCTAAAATAAAGCATATAAGCCGAAAAATCAGTATTGTGTGAAAACATAGCATTTGGTATAATAACAAAAACTTAAAGCTCAGAATGTGGTGTTCTAAAACGGAACCACCAATGTTTCAAGTTTATTTTATTATTATTAGATAAAAAGTGCTAACTAATCATATAAAAATTTGAATGGCACAACCATTGATTTGAATGGCTTTTCAGAGCCATTAGTTATTAATAATCATCAGAAATAACAAATAGCACATTATCATAGGGCCAAAATTAATTGCTGTTCAATGACAAGTTTTGTTACACAAATATAAACGTTATGGTATTCATTTCTAAGATCTTTTATTATTTTTTATTTTTTTATGATCAATATTAATGCTTTTGTATAACAAATTATAAGACATCATCATCATCATCATCATTAACAAAAATAGTTACATAAAATAGTTATTTATACTGAGTTGCAAGGACTTTTAAAATTCTTCAAAATTTCATAAGATTGTTTTTTCACAGACTCTGCTTCTTCATGGGTGTAATACAAAAATTTGAGAGCTGGAACACAAATATTGTATTCAGGCTGAGGATTTAATCCACAAAATTCTTCATCAGTCAGGCTTACGTAGGTGTATCGTTGCTTAGAAATAACAGGTAAGTTCATGGTAGAATAATCATTGTTTTCTAAAGACAATAAGTATTTCATATCATCTGCGTTATTTTTTGCTTCCAAATCCATTTTTATTAAAGCTCCATTTTCTTCGACTTTATGCACAGAACCAATTTCGTCAGGGTGTTCTATGATTATATTTGCTATATATTCACCATGGTGTTCTTTGCCCTCATCTTTATTGAAACCACAAAAATGACCATGAACCAAATTTTTAGAAAATGTATTTGCTATTTCTACAATATCATTCAAAATTTTAATAGCTTCTGTATCAGTGATGTTTCTATCTTGAATTATGTCTTTACTAAATACATAAACCTTGGCAGAAACAAGACTATTCTGTAAATCCTTTAAAATAATTTTTTCATATAGTGATTTTAATGCCAGAGCTTTTAAATGAACTGTAGGTAAATTATTTACAATACTAAAAGCTTTGCTGAAAACTGAGTTTGTAAATGTACTTTGAACAAGTTCCTGGACGGTTTGGTCCGCCATTTCACTATCAATTTCATTAAGAAGTACAAGAGCATCTGAGTAATTATGTAGTGATCTTTCTACAAACATTTTTAAGTTATTTTTGGCATATGCTAATGTTTCTTCTTCATTGTTTTCAGTTATAAACTCTTTCATTACAGGAACAAGATCTTTTGCAAGATGTGCATTTGTATCATTTAACGTGTAAATGATTCCTTCGTGCATTTCATTAATAATGTTTGTATCATT